GTTATGAACATAGTATTAACTATTGAGATCATGGGGGAAGATCATGGAGGGGGTTATGGAAGTGTGGGAATTACAATAATAATTGTAAGAAGTAGTGGGAGGTTAATGGAGAAGAGTAGTGGGAGTGGCTTCTTTAGGAGTTATAGACATCCACTAATATTATTATAATATTTCATAACACTCCCCCTTGGATGTCTATAAATAATGTGCCTTGTTAAATTCTTACTAAGAAAAAATCATGTAGGAAAAAATCTTAGTGAAGGAAAAAGAGTACACATATCTTGTAATACGCATTACTTGCTGCCTCATTAAAAACCTTGACAGAAAAAGCCAGTGGGATAAAACCTTAGCTAAGGGAAAAAGAGTACATCACATATTTGCCTCCCCCTGATGAAAACATCACTTTTGTTTCTCGGAGACGACGAATTCCAAGCTTGTATAATAACTTCTCTAATATTGAGATCGGCAATGCCTTGTGAAGAAATTTGTCAAATTATCACTTGAACAAATTTGTTGAACAACGATCATGTCTGAAATAGAACTTTGGTGAAATATGCTTTATTTTGTCTCCTTCGATATATCCTTCTTTCAATTGAGATAAACAAATATCATCGCCTTCACTATTATTGGAATCTTTTCTTCAAGGAAAAGTCACACATCTGTTGCGTGTTGAGTCACTTGCTTTATCAGTTGCCATTATATTGACATGACTTGGATAAGTATCAACAATTGACTGCCTTGTGAAATAATAATATGGCAGTACCCTCACATACAGAATGAACTTCAAAAAATGCCTGCGTTTGCATAACCAACAAAACCTTGACAATATCTGTTAGAACAAAAAAATCTATATCATAGATTCCTTTTGCAATATAACACTAATTGTATTTCAATACACATAGGAGTAAAACTATATCTCGCTAGAATATTGTTATACTTATGGTTCTAGCAAGATACATTAGTGCACCCAATTACACTAGACACAAAAATAAATCATGTACACCATGATTACTCTAATCCACATAAGGATCTGCTGAAACTTTAAAAATTTAAATCCTTCAAGGATTTTCATTATACGCATATTAAGTTTTTTTATGTATTGCCAAATTAAAACATGAAAAGGATTTCATCCACCATAGGAGAACATCTCCATATAACTAATTCCGGAATATTTACGAAAAATCTTGTGCTACAAATCGTCTTTATGTCTATCGACTTGATTTTTCATTTCACTTTCAGGTGTTGGGACTATCCGTCCAACTTCACATTTTTTTTAGGTGAAGTCAATTTTCATTTGCGTATTTTTCATTTGGGGAATCATTTATCTGTTCAAATTCCATGACAGATTTGAGCTCAAGATCCTCGTCAATATTAATAATATTGAACGCTACATTATATCAATAATATCATCGACGATCATTTTACATCGGTTCCGTCATTACCCACGAAAGACATAACTTATTGAGATCTCTTTATCTCATTATTTTCAGGTACATGAGCCTCTCCCATGAGGTCTTATGAAGCATTATGTCATGGTGCTCTTGTAAAGCACTTGCCTCCTTATTATGACCATCTTGAACATTTGTTCCTCTCCTTCTTCAAGGAGTTTTATCTTTGGCACCGATTAGTCTATCACGCTTCATGCGTCCCATAGACTATGTCCATCATGGACTTTATTCTATTTGGAGCATTAGTAGCTGAAACATGACATTTAGTTTTGGGTCAGCAAATGCGCATGGTAATATTTTGCTAATGAATTGAACTTCAAGTTCACATTTTCTTGTATGAGGATCTAGGTGCACTCACAATAATTCATTCCATGTTTTACTTTTTCAGCTGCCCATTTTCTCCCCCTAATGCTGGGATCACCAACACATTTTCCAACCTTATTTGGGAACCCATCTTTATGCATTGTGGTGGGATAATTAAATCATATAGCACATCCATATTTCTAGATGGAAATTATTTGGTTCCTGACCCTGAACCAATTAAGATAGGGAGAATTTATCATAACTTGGCTAGATGCGTACAAGTGCTGCTGTATGTTAAATAATACATCTCATAACCAATGGTTTAGCTATAATTGGAGGCATACAATTCTGCTAAACCAACTTGTATTTAAACCAGCATTATCAAGATAAATTATCATAATTTTCATTCTGGAACTGTGCTCTAATTATTTGAGCAATCAACCTTGCTAAAGTCAAACTGCGAGTTGATAACAAACGCTCATGTGACCATAGAATAGATGCATCTATTAAAATCATATAATAGTAAACAGTCCACATGGCAGGTGACTGGGCCTATATATATATATATATATATATATATATATATATATATATATATATATATATATATATATATATATATATATATATATATATATATATATATAT